AACTTTTTATCAACTTTAAATTCATTTATCTCTTTGTTCATATTTAACAGAAATTCTGGTTCTTTTAACCAATGTCCAAATACAACAAAATTACTTATTCGAGTAGGAAAATCAGCTAGGTTCAACTCCCCATTAATATGATTCCATTTTTCTCTATAATCCACTTTTCTAATGGCATTCACTCTATTCTGCACCCATGGTTTCCACGTTCTTTCGTTACCCTTAATCCAATACAATGTCACTTCTGAATCACACCAGCAACTTACATCCTCAAAGTGCACTCTTTCCTTCAAAACTCTTAACACTTCCTCTAAAAGTCGTCTCAGTAACACACAACCTAATAACTCTAATCTAGGTATACTTAATTCTTTTAAGGGTGAAACATGTGACTTTGAAACTAAAAACTTCCTATTCACTCCTACACTAGTTTCTACAACTAGATATATAACGGCACAATAAATTAATTTAGAACTGTCACAAATTCCATGCAATTGAACACGCTCACTACTCTCATTCACTCTCTCAAACACAAATCTCGGGATTCTAACAAAACTTAATAATTCAAGATCCTTTAAAAATGCTGTCAAAGCTAATTCTATTGATTCTGTTACTATTTCATCCCATCTATTTTTATCTCTACAAATTAATTGAAAAATTGTTTTTACTCTTGAAGGTATTGGTGTTAAAAAACCTAGAGGATCAAAGGAAGATGCTGCCATCTTAAGAATATTTCTTTTAGTATTTTTTAGCATTTTTGCATTTTTAACAAATTCTTTAAACTCAAAAACAAATTCATCATTTAATATATCCCACTCAATTCCTAAAATTTTTATAAAATTATTATTGTTTTCATTTTTAATAATTAACTTTCAAAATATTTTAATTCATCAACTTTTAGATTACATTTTTAATTTTCACTTTGATTTGTTTCCTTTTTATTATAATAATTTTATATATAGATTTTTTATAAAGCATTTTCCCTTCCGAAATTGTTTCACAGTTAGAGGCTGTGAAACAATTTCGTCAACATAAAGATCATCTATTAATGTCGTCAACATGGTGTTTTAAAGTTACACTTAAAAGAAAAGGACTGCTAGTTAAACCAAAAACAACTCTAAGAAATCTATATACAATTAGTTTAGCCTCTTTATCAGATATTCTCTCGTACCACAAGAACCTTAAGTATTCTCTGTGTTCACGAGAGATTTCAATGTTTAAGAATGCTTGCTTTATATCAGCAATTATCTCTATAAACCTAAATTATTATTAAACTTATAATTAAACCTAAATTTTAGTAAAATATCAAATATTTTTGATAAAAAAATTCGGACCTGAATACAAGCAATCATTTGAAGACGGTCCTGTTGTCAAACAGGACGCATCAAAAACAGCTCTAATTTTTGTAGTATCCTTATCTCTTCTAATGACAGGCCTATGAGGCAAATAATGCACACACCCTGGTTCTTTAAATATATCAGACTCACTAACTCTTTCTATTATATTATTCTTTTCATAGTCTATAAAAATTTGATTATATTCTATAACCAGTTGTTTTCCGATTTAACCTTACCTTTAAATTAGCCAGACGTTTTTTACAAATATTATAGTTATCAGGTAAAAAATCATGATCAGTTTTAAATGGTAACTTTGTTAAATATCGTTCCCCGTTATGTGTGAGATCTCTTTCAAACTAATACATCACACAACTCTCAGGAGATTCTATGGTTTCACCAGACCAAAATTTATTTAGATCTTTCCTAAGCTCATCTATTTCACTCTCAACCTCACAGTGCATAGGATGATTAGTAAAAACTGTTTTTTGTGGTATTTTTTGTACTTTTTTCCAGAGAAATAGGACCACTTAATACAAACCCTAAGATTGATTTACTACGCGACGGGCATTTGTTTTTAAAAGTTACGATCTAAATGTATTTTAAATGTCTTTTAACCGTCTTTTAAACATTAATGTTTAAAAGACGTTTAAAAGACGTTTAAAACACATTTAAAACGTAACTTTTAAAAACAAATGCCCGTCGGGTAGCTACTAGACCACCTATTGGACTTCTTACGATTCTTCCAGTAATAAAACTGTGATAAAAATCTATACCTACTAAAATATCAACATGAAAATCAAGAGAGCCATCATCATAATCAGCTAATCAATATTTGAATAACTGTTTAAATTGATTACAAGCTAATGACACATTTTGCCCTTGCAGAGGGCTACAAATAAAGCTTTCAAATAAACACTGTGATCAGTATATTTATGTTTGACCAAAAATTGAACAACATTTAATAATTGCAATGTTTGTTCATTATCTTTCCCAAATGTTTTTATTATAATTTTCTCTGCAATTAAATGGCTTCCGCTATCATATAAGATTCTTGCCTTTAAAGACTTATTTTCTAAAACTGCACTTATATTTGCCCTAAATGTTTGGAACAAGATAGTTTGTTGGGAAATGTTATGTGTTGCATGCGCAACAAAAGTGTTTTCTTTTTCACACAAGGAAATATGATGCTTTTTTTTTGCATTACAAATATAATTTGCTTGACAATTCTTTAACATGTGATTCGTTCTTAAACAATTAAAACATCTACCTTGCTTTTTCAAAATTTCTTTTCTGGTTGAAAAATTAGTCACGTTTTTACATTCCCAGGGGTTGTGATTTTCTGAACAGTATATGCAAGGATAATTACAATTTCTTTTGTTTTGGTAATCACTATCAAATAATTTTTGAAAAACTTTTTTGTAATTATTCTTAGAGTTCTGATTAATGTTCTGTGAATATAATCCTGCAGTTGTGAATAACTGACTATTATTTTTTCTGTTTTCAACATTTCGACTATTAGTTGAACAACACTCTATTGCATTTAGTTCTTGTTGGAAACATTTTTATAATAAATGTATAGTCCAAACTTCCCCACCAAATTTCCTCGAAATTAACAGAACTAAATCATCTGGTATTTTTTCTTTTAAAATAGGAATCAGAAGACTTACATATGTGTTGGTTTCAACTTTTAATGATTTCATTTTATAATACTTGCCTCTATATCATTATTTAGTTTTCTTGAGGCATCAACATTATCACTATTTTTTACTTTCACAAGTTTAAATAATAAATCCATGTGTGCAGAGATTAAAATTTGTGGCTTACCATACCGTTCAGTCAATAAAGAAACTGCTTCTCTATAATTTTCTGACGATAAGGTTAAACCTCAAATGGTACCCAGCAGGCAAATAACGTTGAAATAACGTTAAAATATCGTTGAAACCTAACGTTGAATTAACGTTGGTTTAACGTTTAGAATGAAAGTTTTTTTTAACGTTGATTTATCAACGTTAAATCAACGTTAGGTTCAAACGTTATATCAACGTTGACTCGATGCGAAAAAACGTTACAATAACGTTGAATTTACGTTGATTTAACGTTTAGAATGAAAGTTTTTTTTTAACGTTGATTTATCAACGTTAAATCAACGTTAGATTCAAATGTTATATCAAAGTTGATTCGACGCGAAAAAACGTTACAACAACGTTGAATTTACGCTGATACAACGTTTAAAATAATAGTTTTTTTAACGTTGATTTATCAACGTTAAACGATTGTAAAACACCTTTTCACCATCAAAACGTGCTATGTATATCAA